CGGGAACAGGGGAGGTGGGAGAAACTGACAGAAATCACATCCTCCCTGTATCATCAGCAGCAGACAAGCTTTGCTGGATTACAGCCTCCTGCAGATGGAACAAATATTTCCATCTGTAGGAAACAAATGTTGGATCCAACCTAGTGTTTTTGATAAGTGGTCATAACTCAATTTTAAGACCTCTGTACAAGCTTAGTATGTTTGGAATGAATTCAGATTTCCTCTTAAAAGGACACAGTATAACTGATTTTTCATATGCTGACAAATTTGTATCTATTCCAGTGACAAGTCACTTTGCCTATCATATTCATAGGCACCACTGTGTGTTTTTAAATAATGAGACATACGAGATCAAATTGGTTATACTCACAACAAGAATTTAGAAACTCCCATGAAAGAGGCCATGATGCTACAGAAGTACTTCATTTGATGATTATTTTAATGAAGACCATTAGAAAAATATAATATGACCATACCAGCCACTAGGTTAGGGGGAAAACCAATACAAACAAAGTGTGACAAAGCTAAGGATGGGCACACTGAATTATTCTCTTCATGTTTCTGGCGATGCTAGGAGTTGTAGTCCACATTTGAGCGCACCAAGTTGGGAAGACTGCTGTAGTAACTAACCAGTCAAAATTCTGTGTTATGTATATTGTCACCTGTGAGGCATGCTACAGTTTCTTCTGTCAGCCCAAAAAGCTAGCAGCCACCTCTACAGCATACCTAAAAGTTTTACTAAGCAGAGAAAGGAAAGCAATAGTGATATAATAACAAGCACACAGATCTGCTTCTTGCAGGCCAACCATCTCTCAACAATAACATGTTTTCAGCTGCTTTATCTTCCCAGTGAAGGTTCCCTTTCCAGAAGTACTCTTCACCTCATACTTGCTCTCCTGGCTAATCATGCTAGTTCCCTGCCTACAATTTGCTGCTCAAAAGGCCCAGCTCATTACTCAAAAAGATGTAACATGCTCAAATTATTTCTCAGCAACAAGCTGAGATGTCATTTAACTTGCCAGGGCAGCAGGACTGGCTGCTATCTGGACTTTGGAATATTCACTTCTAAAACTGAAGCTGTGAAAATGAGTGAACTGCTATCAGAACAAAAAGTCAGTGGCATAACTTATTATGCTCCTGAGAGGCATATGGTGATTCAGGAGCAGAGAAAATTATAACCTCACCTATGCACAAAAACAGCTAATGTTCATGGACACTGTGAGAAAATGTCATGGCAATGAAATGTCAAAATTACTATGTCTAATATGAGTGGTTCAGTTTGTAATCCTAAACAATCCTTAGCTTGTGTGTGCAAACAGGGACAGGATTGTCCTTTCCTCACCCATCTTTGCACAAACCTTGGGTGACTGGTCAAGGATTCTCCAGTCTCCATAACAAAACTATTAACTATTCAAGCACTGGACCAAAGAGGAACTGTTTGCCTGACAGCACTATCTTGTGCTCAGCCTGGCAAAAGCAATCCAAAGGGCTTTCTGCATGCTCACGTCAAGTTGCCTCAAGCGCACTTAAGCCACTGAATGATATTCCTGCCAGTAGCTTCCTCAGAGACAATACTGCAATATCCCACCCACATCTCAAACAAAGGCAGTGAATAACCTTTGTGGCTGCGGATCACTTGTGAATTTTATAAATCTCACTAGATTTGTGCTCCAATGCCAGGCGGTGTGCAGTAAGGATATTTTGTACAATAGCTGCAAACAAATGAGATCTAGTCTCTGACACATTGTTCGGCACCATACAAATTGCAGTTTTATCTAAAAGAAGAACAAGTTTCAAGCCCTTCAGGCTGTGAAGACACAACTGAAACTGTGCAGGTGATGCCTGATAAAATCTCACAAGAAAATAAGAAGTGCCCTGCTGGATCAGACATGCAGTCCAGCATTCTGCTCATATAGTGGCCACCCAACTGCCTACAAGATCCCTCGAGCAGGACAGAACTGCAACAACAAATGGTGTGTGTAGCCCTACTGCTCTGAGGTAGCACATAGCCATAACGAATAGCGGCCATTGATAGACTTCTCCTTCATGAATTCCTCCATTCCCTTTTAAGGCTGTCCAAATTGGTGGCCACTGTAGAAATGAATTCTATACCTTAACTATGTGTTATCTTGGTGACAAACTACTTTCTTTTCTCAGTCTGGAATCTCCCACCCATCAGCTTCATGGGATGTCCATGGATTCTAGTATTACAAGAGAGGGAGAAAATGCCTCCTTATCTACTTTCTCCACAAACATGCACAATTCTGTACACCTTTAGCATGTCTCTCTTTACTTACCTTTACTCTAAGCTAAACAATCCCAAATATACTTTTATTCACATGGAAATTGTTGCAGCCTCTTGATAATTTTGGCTGCCCCTTTCTGTACTTTTTCCAACAAAAAATAACCTTATTTAGATGCAGTGATCAGAATTGTGCACAGCATATACACTGTGTTTACTAAGTCTGGCTGTACCATATGTGCATAAGAAAAATATGGTATGTGCAGTTTTATTTTCAATTATTCTCATCTAATTTCAATTCTTATTATTATGCCTAACATGGAACTTGCCTTTTTCACAGCAGCTGCACACTGGATTGACATTTTCATCAAGCTGTCCACCATAATCCCAAGATCTATTTCTTGGTTAGGTCAGACCCTATTAGCTGATACTGAAGTGGGGGGGGGGGGCAAAGTGTATTTCCTGACACTTACTTACACTGAACTTCATTTGCCATTGTGATGCCCATTCTCCCAATCTGAAAAGATCCTTTTGGATCTCCCCACAATCCCTTTTGGAGTCATTAGCCTGACCACTTCATTGCTCACTTCTAATTCCTAATTTTATGAACAAGTTGAAAACCACTGGTTCCTCCCCTCTGAAACCGCACTGTTTACAGCTCTACACAGAGATAATTTTTTATGTATTCCCACTCTCTGCTTTCTATTCTTTAAGCAACTGCTGATCCATAAGAGTCTCTCTCCTCTTATTCCAGGACTGTTAAGTTTGCTCAGGATTCTTTGAGAAGGGGCTCTTTCAAAAGCCTTTTGGAAGGCCAAGTAAATGATATCTATCTAATCATCCCTGTCCACATGTTTATTGGCACTCTCAAAAAATTCTAAAATGCTAGAGAGTCAGAACTTACCTTCATGGAAGTTATGTTAATTCTTTCTCAGCTGTGCTTGTCCTTCTATATGCTTACTAAAATTTATCTTTAATAATACTTTCAACCTAATTACCCAGAGCAGATGTTAAGCTAACCAGCTTGCAATTTCCTAGATCCCCCCAAGGATCTCAGAAATGATAGCAGAATTCAACATGAATTTAGTCATAAGGATTAGAAGTGTGTTGCTTCAATGCACTGCATAGCACTCTACCCTTCTTCTTGACTAGCAGAAGTAAAAGGAATAAGAGGAATAAGACAATCCAGGAAAATGTGTTGATTACATACACTTTGTAGAATCCAGCTTTTCTTGGCACACTAGTCATTTGAGCTGAATCAAGCAACTACGTACATACACGCAGGCACTCAGCTTCCAACAAATGAAATGGCTCACAAAACAACAGGCACAGTGGATGTCAAGATGTTATACTTCTCATCATTAACAACATCCAGTTAGTGCCTCTGACACATTCCACAGAATACTAATGGATGACACTATCTAGGGGCAATATTGTATTTTCCTTGTGTATTTCCCAGTACAAAATACTATACTTTGAGCAATCAGAAAATATCCCTGCAACCAAATTTTACACTATTGACATTTTATAGTATTCTCCGGAAATAGAGGGGAAAAAAAGCAGAATTCAATGGGTAGCACCATGCTGCTGTAGGAACTTGGAAATTTTTCTGTCCTAAACACATTTGGTACTTCCCTTTCACAAAGTCAGATTTATTTCATGCTTGCTCTTCATAAGTCTCTGCACTTAACATTTCTAAATTCTTCACTAAACTAAATAAGGAAAATTAGGGTAGATTCTCACACTTCTCTGTAGAAATGTTATGCAAAAAGAGATATAACAGAAATGTGTTGGCTCAAACTGTAATTTCTGCTTTGGACTTAGGTTTCACAGTCAAACACACCCAAAAATGACAAATCACATGAGGAGCAGAAAGCACGCTGCCTGTTGCAGTCTTTTCATTAAGACTTCCTTATATACATATATAAACACTCTCTTGCATGCTTGCTTGCTTGCTTGCATGCTTTCTCTCTCTCTCTCTCTCTCTCTCTCTCTCTCTCTCATATGTGTGTGTGTGTGTGTGTGTGTGTGTGTGTGTGTGTGTGTGTGAGAGAGAGAGAGAGAGAGAGAGAGAGAGAGAGAGAGAGAGAGAGAGATTTCTAATATCTATGGGATGCTTTCTCTTGCATAAAATCTCTTTCATGATTTCCCTTCTTGGAATGTGTCAGTGCATAGTGCTATAGACAATCCTCCAAGTTTTCGACAGAAAGCAGCAGCACTGTCAGATAAAACAAGCACAAATGGCTCAACAGCCATGTTTACTTGCACAGTCGGGATAGATAGATGGTCAGTCATCCAGAGCTCTTGAAGCCAAAGACTACTGTTGACACCTAAGTCTGAGAACAGAGGTGATACAGAAAAGTCTCCCATGCATAACTAATTCAGCAACCTTAGTGGCTAAGCTATCTGCTATGCACAACTTGAATCCAGAACATTGTCTATTATGTTGTCCTCAAAATAATTACTGTGCTGTTGAATTTTAAGGATTTTGATCCTGTTCCTCTTTGTCTCAAACAAACAAATTATAGGCCACTTTCCATATTATGCATACTTCCTATTTAGATCCAATTAGCAACAGCAGCATAACCACATTAGCTACTGCCAAACCATTCTCTAGGCTGATATGTAATCCCTTAAACAAAACTTTTATATTCTTCTCAAAGTCTTACCTGGCCTCTGCTTTATTCACCTTGAAGCAGGGTGTTAAAAGGCCTTGTCTTTGGAAAAAGAGCCTGTTATTGCAAAGCACAAACCTTACCTGTCATTTCACAGGCATCCAAAGCATCCTCTGGCTCTTGATGAGTGAATGAAGACAAAAAGCTGGAATCCTCCTTATGGCTACACATTTCAGTAATCACTTTCTCTTCTCTATTCATTGCTTCTAGTTTCTCTGAAGAAGTGGGGGGAGGCTCCTCAAGACTAATCCCCCCATTTTTTGATGCCCCCAACATAGCCACATTCTCCAGAGATGTTTTTGCATCTTGTAAAAAGGCAGCTGATCTCTCTTCACCTTTGGGGCATTCAAGGGCAGCAAGATCCTCTTTGTTTGACACTAGGGTCATTGGCACAGGTTTTTCTCCATCACCCTTGCGCTCTGTCTTCCCTTCTGATAAAGTAGTAGGAACAGCTTTCTCCATTCCCTGTGGATTCTGCTGTGTCAGTTTTACAAACTAGACATCAATGTTTTGGAACAATTACTGCCAGACAACCTGTAATGAAAAAGGTGTCAAAATGTCACACATTCGGAAGACCGAATTTCACACAAGCCCTCTTTGGGCATGTTGGTTAAGATTTAGTGCACTTAAAACTTCTAAAAATAGTTATTATAAACACTCAGGACTAATGCCTCCTACTTAGAGACAATGCCTACATTTAGAGAAAAACACAGTAAATCTTGTTATCAGACTAGCAGGAGTCAAGAAAATGAAAAATATTTTGCATGTCACTCTCAACCCATTGGTAATTCAGGTAAGTCCCTGGATATTCAATCTGCAATACAGATATCACAAGTGCTACAGACAAAAGAAAGTCACAGGGTGTCCAAACTGCAACAGAAGAGCATACAGACCAGGCTGAGTCTCAGTGCAAGCCTTGCACTTCCCTGCATTTCTAGCTGGCTTGTACCTTTGCAGGCATAAAAGTATTGTCCCTAGACATGGATTATATTGGGTTGTTTCACTGAATTATGTGAAATTTTAGTGCCAGCTACTATACCATTTCTTGGGCACAAAAGCTTCTTCTAGTAACATGCAAACAAAATAGCGAACCTCTTACAAAAGAAAGTTTAGTGTAATAAGTGGTAGAGTTAGTTGTGGGTTTGGACAATTCCTTCAAACTGGCATTGTCATGCTGGTCTGGATGGCATCCTAAATGACTTGACATTCATTATGCCAAGCCAAGGAACCAAAGGCATCTTTGATATATGAAAGCATATTTTGGCTTTCAGTTCTGGCATTTTGGCGCTAGCCTGGTAGATCTGCATGCAGGCGATGCTTAAGCTCCCTGATACTGAATCTACACTCAGTAACCATTCCATATGAATGAACTTGTCAAACAGACATTTTCCACAAAAAACTGAAATACCATACAATTGTCTGTTTTGGGAAATGCAGAAATATCTCCATTATTCCTCTGCCAGACCCTACCAGGCAAGTAACTTATAGACATATTGACAAGGGTAAATAAAATCATGTATCTAAATTAGCACTATATATAGGCACAAAGTTTAATGAAAACATTTCAGTCACATCTTACTTTCCCTAGAACTGTCCATATTATTTAAAAGTATGTATGTATGTATTATATCACACACAATTTTGTCTACTATACACTTCAAATCTGGGGTATCAATTCTAGAATTTGCTTACCCACACCTATCATCTACCCAAATAAATTAACTGTTAGTCTGACAAATGTCCTAGTTCAGTTGTTAATTTTAAGGGATTGGACAAAACACACACAGCAAATGTAAAATGTTTCTACAGTAGAGAATTTACTTTCATGTTCATGTTTTGCATTATGAAGTACCTAAATGTCCTTCTCAGCAAGTAATATGCATATGAAGCAGTACATGGCACCTATAGATATCTGCAATGGCTCTTGTGAAAGAATCCCCAATATGTACAGAATCACAGAATAGTAGTGTTGGAGGGGCCAGAGGGCCATCACATCCAACCCCCTGCTCAGTGAAGGATTCCAAGTTAAACCATCCCATAGGTGCTCAGTTGATCTTGAATGCCCCTAGTGTGAGAAAGCCCACAACCCCTGGGGATAATTGATTCCATTGCCATTCTGCTGTAACAACCAGGAATTTTTTCCTGATTTTTTCCAGAATCTGGCTTCCTGTAACTTGACCCTGTTATTCCATGTCCTGTACTCTGGGATGATCAAGAAGAGACAGTTTTTCAAGTACTTGTAGAGTGCTACCATATCTACCTCTGTCTTCTATTCTTAAGACTAAACATGCTCAGTTCTTTCAATCTTTCCTCATAGGGCTTTGTTTCCAGTGCCTGGACCATCCTTGTTACTCTCCTCTAAACCCTTTCCAGCTGTCTGCATCTTTCCTAAACTGTGGTGTCCAGAAAAGGACACACTATTCCAGATGAGACGTAACCAGTGCTGAGGAAAGGGGAACTAGTACTTCACCGGATTTAGAAGTGATATTTCTATTAATGTAGCCTAAAATATCATTAGCCATTTTTGCAGCCAGATCACATTCTTGACTCATGTTCAGTTTGTGAACTACAATTCCAAGATCCTTCTCACTAGCAGTATTGTTGAGCCAAGTATTCTTCATCTTGTAATGATACATTTGGTTTCTTCTTCCTAGGTACAAAACTTGGCATTTGTCCCTATTGAATTTCATTCTGTTATTTTCAGCCCAGCGCTCCAGCCTATCAAGATCATCTTGAATCTTCTTTCTGTCTTCCAGGATATTGGCTATCCCACTGAATTTTGTGACATCTGCAAATCTGATCATCATTCCCTGACTTCCTCATCCAAATTGTTAATAAAAATGTTGCAGAGCACAAGGCCCAGGACTGAATCCTGCAGTACCTCTCCCCAGTTTGAGAAGGTGCCATTGATGAGCACTCTTTGAGTCCGATTCTGTGGATCCACCTGATTGTTGTTCCATCTAGCCCACTTTTAGCTAGTTTGATAATCAGAATATCATGAGGCACTTTGTCAAAAGCTTTTTTAAAGTCAAGATAGATTATGTCAACAGCAATCCCACAGTCCATCAGGGAAGTTACATAATCAAACAATGGCAGGATTTGTTGGTTTCTAGTAATCACTGCATTGTTTTCAGGGTCTTTGCAGACTGCCTGCTTTAAAATCTGCTCCAGAATTTTCCTAGGGATTGATGTCAAACTGACTGGTCTGCAGTTCCCAGGTTTTTTTCCCATTTCTTGAAGGTGGGGACAACATTTGCCATCTCGTCCTTGGCACTTTTCCTGCCTTCCATGATTTCTCAAAGATAACAGACAGTGGTTCTGAGAGTTCTTCCACCAGCTCCTTTATGAGTCTAGGATGGCAGTCATTGAGCCCTGGAGATATGAACTCATTCAGCCCAATTAGATGATCCTTGACTATTTGCATATCAATGTTGGACTTCCATCCTGCTAGTTCAGCTTCTATTACCCCTTCATCAGGAAGGTCACAGATCTTTTGAGAGAAGACTGAGCCAAAGTAAGAACTGAACACTTCTGCCTTTTGTCATCTGTTATCATTTTGCCATCTACACTGAGTAGTTGAACCCTCATTTCTTTCCTCTGTCTTTTACTTTTGGACATATCAGAAGAAGGCTTTTTTATTGCTTTTAGCATCCCTCACTAGCCTCTGTTCATTCCTAGCTTTAGCCTTCCTGACACCATCCCTGCAATTCTGTGTTACCTGCTTGTATTTTTCCTTTGCAGCCTAGCCTTCCACTTCCTATACATGTCCTTTTTTGTTTTCAGATTATCTCTGAGTTTTTTGTGAAGGGCTTCTTCTCTCCTTGTTGTAATTATGCTTTTAGAATGTTCCAGGGAGTTTCTTCTTCATTTTCCCTTCCCTTAAGATTCTCCTCTTCTGCCTCAGCTTGCTGCTGTACTTCCAGCTTCTGTACTACTCTTAGCTGCTGCAGTTCCATCCCTCTGTCTAAAAACTCTTCTTCTTTTATTACCTTTATTACTCACTATTCTAGTGCTCTCACCTTTCTTCAACAGAACTACTGACTTGCATTTGTTGCACCTGTAAGCCATGGTGACCTCAAGCAGGAAAACAAACATTGCTTAGACACTGCAGGTTGTCACCACCACTGGGGAGCCTTCTCAGTCCATTCTTTCTATTACCTTTCTGATTCTAGCTTGCTGGGCCTGTTGTAACAACCAGTGGATTCTCCTGTCTTCCCTAAAAGTTGATATCCCAGTCCTATCAGTAAATAAGAGGGTGTTATAAGAAAGAAAACAAAGAGGAAAAACTCAGGGGGCAGAAAGTAAAAAGTTAGGGACCTCCCCCTTGACCTCTGCTGTCAAATTCTGCTGCCAAACTCCTGTTTGTTCACTCTGGTTGCTCACTGTCTGGGAGCTTGGTAGCCCACAGGTAATCCCAAGTTGTCTGCTTATATGCACATGGATTTGTCTACATTTTATTCAACAAATGCTTTTGTGTATACAAATGCATGCAACTTTTGAGCAATAGGCTTCAACAAAAGCAGAAAACAATCCAAATAAACATCTTTCTGAAGTTGGTATCTATATGCCACCCATTCATACACTGAAAGCACAGTATGCTTCTAAATCCATTGCATTATAGGAAATGAGCAATTCCTCATCCTTCCATAATCCATAATCCTTCCAATTTTGTAGTATTAGTATTTAAGCTGTCAAAAGTGTGCAGAGAATCCATTTCCCTTTCCATTTGTAATTTCTGATGAAGCAGACAAGTAATTTAAAGTATGTACATTAATATCCCAGTACAAAATTTAACTGTATAATAAATTTCTCCCCAGAAGAACCAGCTACTGGACACTGTTAAAGCACATGTTTAAAAGAAACATTAGTTCTATTGCAGCACCAGTAATAAGCCCAATTAGGCAACTCCTATTGGATGTTGCAGTGTCCAATAGACAGGCAACAAAACATTAGCTAAATAAGATGCAGCCTAAGATCCACAGACAGGACAGATAAATGGCAAAGTGATGATTCACTGATAAGGCATTTTGTGGTGGAGTTCACAGCAGTTTTTCAAATTTACAAATGTACCCATGCTTCCAAAAAGCCTGAAATAGATTGTCACCAATCTGCAGCCTTCAGAACTGCCCCCCTCCGGTGATAATGCATGCTATTTTGGGGCCTACGGTTAAGAGACTGATCCTACACATTTTCAGTTAAGACCAACTGGCTTAAATGGAAGGGCTTCTTACTTTCACAGAAGGCATTTAATCTCATATCAGTGGAAGTAAAGAAATCAAGGCAACATTGCCTACCCACCCCCTGACTGTATGCCCTCCTTCAGAGTACCTTCCATCCCATAAAGCAACTGGGGGGATGCAAGGAGTTGAAAAAGGAATATTGGTGAAAATCATTTCCCATCTTCCACTGGAAGGATAGTTCCACTGGCAGAAGGGAATTTAAGATCGTAGTCATTGAGTTTACTGGTATTTATTTGCAAGTTAACACAATCACAGCCCAGAATTCTAAATGTATAGCTTTTCCTTTTCTTTGAA